CATTTTTGTGCCCGTGAGGAAACAGAGAAACAGATGATCTCACCGAATACATAGATCATAGGAGAAAAGCCCAGGACAGTTAGTGGTCCCCGGTGAGCCATCATTCATCCCAGTGCAACGGTAACACTTGTGATGGCATCTCCGCTGTCTGGAATGGTAATTTATGTGGCCTGGCACTGCCGTAGGGGGAGGACGTGGGAGGGGTCTTGCCCGGGGAAGAGTTGCCTCCCCCTCCTCTCTTCCTTCGTGTAAGCCTCAGACCTGGCTCACTCTGGGAGACGCTGGAATTTCTTTCTTACACTTTCAACATGGCCTTAGTGCATGGTGTGCGGGAAGGGGGTGAAAGGGAGAGAGATACAGTCTTAGATCTTTCCCTCCTCCCAGTTTCTCACTCCTACAAAAATAAACAAATCATTACACACACACACACACACACACACACACACACACACACGCATACACAGTTTTGGGCCTGATTTTACCAGGGAGTGAAATGTTTTCCTCTGCTATTTCTGGGAAGATTACGTGCTTATATTTCCTACTTTAATTTGTTCATTCATTTATTATTAACTTATGCCTTGATGCCTGAGTCAGTTGGTAGGCAGCTGGATGGGTGCTGGAAATTTCATCAGAAAGGCTAAAAAGGAAATTCAAGAAGGTCCAGAACTCAACTGTGAATTAATGTCTTCTTATCTGCAGTGACCCATTTATCTCTGTCTGTCTGTCTGTCTGTCTGTCTGTCTTGGTGGTCATGATCCCTCTCTGAAGCTGATAATGGTCGAACACTCTTTGAAACTGAGATTGTGGCCTCACTGATGCTGACGTCAGTTGAACCTCTGTCCTATAACATCTTTTGAGCTCAACTTTATGCAATCAGTTGTGTCATTTCATTATTTGTGTACTCAGACATCCCTAATGGGCTGGCTTATCTTCACTTTTGCAGTCTGAATGTGGAGATAAAATCTTTACATCAAATACATTTCATTCTAAAATGTTTTACTTGAGGTCAAACATTTAAGGTCCTCGGAAAGTACTTTAGAAAATTAATAGAAGTTAGAACTATGCGATCATTTAGAATTATTATTATGGCGTTAAAATGATACTTTACATGATGCTTTTAATATATAGATATGTATGGATATATGTCCATATACATGTGCATATGAATTTAGAATGTTTTATCCTGAAGAAATAAAATTTTTTGAGTAGGTAAGTATGTTTACCTTCATTTGACCATCATACAGTGCATATATCTATATAAATATAACATGATATCCCATAAATATGTACAATTTTTATACATAAGTTAAAAAGTTTAAAAAGTGCTCCTAATTCAAATGATGGTAGTTATACTGAGGTTTGCTGATTCCTTTTAATTTTCTCTGGACAAAACCCCTGAGGTTGGAGTTTATCCAAAGCCTTACCAAGAATTTGGGGACCTGTTGGTGAGCTTATTTTCTCTTTTAGTTCTAAGTCTTCCTTTCAATGAATTAGTTCAGATCATTAGTGGTTGAACTGTGCCCAAAATAACTTGTATATAATTTCCACAAAACTGCTTTCCCCAGCCATTTGGATGTGTGGCCTGCTTTACTGGAGATTTAGGGGAAAGAGAGGAATTTACAACACAGACATGAAAGAAGTTAAAAGTGATTACTAGATGGAGCTGCTCTTAAATTCCTTGCATGGCCACTACTGAGCTTGAACCCCTCACTTGTCAATTGCCACCCCTTTCTTTTTTTTTTTTTTTTTTTGGTTTTTCTCCGGTACCGAGAACCGAACTCATGACCTTGCGCTTGCCAGGCAGGCGCTTTGCCGCTGAGCTAAATCCCCAGCCCCTTGCCACCCCTTTCTTATTTCCTCTTTTTTCAGAGTCTTCCCTCTCTTTTCTCTCCTCCTTCCCTTTCAGAGTACAATATCAACCATTTCCTATTTCAATGTACTTTTAAATTTTATTTTTAATGTGAAACAAGTAAGGTCTCCCCAGCTCTGGCATCAAAGGAAATTTGCATTCTCTACTTGCATGTCCAAGGCGATAGTCTAATTGGAGATGACCCCTTCTAAGGCCACTTCTGCCTAAATTTTCAGACAATGGTCATCCTCCTCCTCCTTTATCTACATCTATCTGGAGGTGAGGATGGAAGTGGGGGAGGTGGAGCATGTGTGTAGAGGAAAGGTCAAAATCATGTGCTTTGGACTAGGTGGGGTTTGCACCATGGCTTCTCTGCTTCATGGCCCTGTGATCTAGAACAAGCTACTTCACTTTCCTATGCCTGTTTCCTCATCTCATTTTTTGGTATCAGGAATCGAATTCAGGACCTTGCGCATGCCAGGCAGGTGCTTGTGCCGCTGAGCTATATCCCAGCCCTCCTCATCTCTAAAGTCTGGATGATACCACTTTCTTGCAAGTTGTGGAAAAGATAAAATGGAATAACACTTTTGGTGCACCTACCTAAATGCAGGCACTTACCAAATGCTAGTTTCTTTTTATTTCTCTCATGTGATAAATACTTTCTGTGTGGGTTACATATGTAAACATTAGATATTTATAAATTACATAATTCAAGGAAAATGAAACTTGAAAAGGCACCATACTTTGGATTTTTTGGTAAAATAAATAATCATCCCAATTTGTCTTTTTGTGCATATCTGTATTTTTATGTGCAGCACTGATGTTTGTGTACAATTCTCGGCACTGTGAGACTTGACTGAACCTATGCTGTCTTTGCAGCTTTATAGAAGATAAATACAAGGCATTGCTGGTATGATTTGAGGCAATTTAAATGACGGAACTGTCCCTGAGTATTAGTTCCAAGTGGGCCCATTAGAGCTGGGTAGATAATGAGGGATATAAAAAACAGGCTAAGCCTTTGTGGTTTGGTTGGATGACATTCACACAGCATGGTGAAAATGGATATTTTACCAGAGGAAAGGACTCACCATCTGTCTCCCCTCAAAAGCAGAACAGAATATAGCCCCTGAATAAGTGAATCAGTGACTCTTCTTGTCATTTAGGCCGAGTTAAACCTATGGCAAAGATATTCTATACACACCTCATGCAGCCTAGTTTAAAATTCTGGGTGTCAAGGATTATGTTAGAATTAGCAACTGACTACAACCTTCACAATATTCTTAGTGGCAAGCAACAGTAGTCTAAAACTTAAACAAAAGAGACTTTCCCCCTATCATCCCATCAGTTGTCTGCCAAATCTAGCCTGTAGCTTGTTTTTGTACCACATCTGAGGTACACATGGGTTTTGTATATTTGAGGCGTTTTTTAAAAAAAAAAGTAACAGAGGCCGTATGTGGCCTGCCAAGGCTAAAATATTTACTTTCTGCCCTTTTGTAGAAAAGGTTGCTTATCTCTGGTCTAAGGAGTTTGAAATAGCGCATTAAATGTTCTTATTGAAGGGAGACTCTAACGATGATGGACATTTTCAGTTGCAATCTGATTTGTGACAACCACAATGTGCCTATTTAAACAAAGCTTAATGGGCATTACTGAGGATAAATATAATCACATTTCAATATTTGTCTTGCCCTCTTTACATAAGGTTATTCCAGCTTTTCCCAGGGAACAGAGTCTCTATTTGTTGTTTTAGAAGTAGCACATATGTCTGTCACCTCCTCGCTGAGGCCTCCACCTGTCACCTCTCACCCCAGCTCACCTATGTGAACACGTGTCCTTGAGTTGCAATGACAGCCCTTCCTACCTGAGAAAGGATTGCAAGGCCAGGAGGGGAAAGGCTGCTAACCATATTTTATTTTATTTTGTTCATGATGAAGCTAGTGGGAAATGTGTAGGAGTATATGTACTTGGGGCAGAAGTGTGATCCCAGGGAAAGGGGCAGTTGTGGAGTTGCAGTGCATAGAGTGAGTCTCCCAGAGGTAAGTTCTGAGATGAACCCTGAAAAATCCCATAGTTTGCAGGAAAGGACAAACAAGGTAAGTAGGAATGAGGGAACAGCTCACAGAGTGGAGACTTTTACAATGGGTAAGATGAGCATGGGTCATCAGTATGGCCAGTTTAGTGGGAATTTGAAGGCATAGGAATACAAGCCCAGCAGTCAGCAGGGAGTCACTGTTGTTTATTGTTTTAAAAAGAGCAGTGTATATGCGTGTGTTGAGGGGCATGAAGTGACGGTCATGAAATCAGTTACTATAGTCATACACTGTGTATGTTTTTGGCAACAATGGATCACACATATCATTGTGGTCCCGTTGGATAATGTCACCTAGTGACATCAGAGCCATTTTAATTTGTGTTAGTACACTTCATGGCGTGCACACTATGATAAAATCACCCAATAAAGCATTTCTCACAATTGTGCCTGTTGTTAATGTATGACTTTTTTTCTTAAATGATATCAAAGAAAAATATGCACCAGAGACGCCTGTGTAGCCTGTAGACTTTGGCTAAGATTGTTACATGGGCCGTCTATGTGGGTTCTCATAGCTCAGTGGTGGAAGATCGCATACCTACTCTGCAAATGAGTAAACTAGGCCTAGAGAAGTTAAAACTGCTTGCTCAAGGTTGTGAAGTTAATAATGGACAGAATGAGATGCCCCGACCTGGGAGCCCAGGTGCTTAATTCCTGAGCGGCTGAATGCTGAATCAAGATAAAACATTCAAACAAGAAAAAAGAGAAGTTAAACAGGGGCTGAAATCCTGCCTTCCAGAAGCATCCACACTGAGCAAACATTCTTTTGGGTGTCTTCTGTGTGCATGCACCGCAATATGAGTGTGCATTTGGTGTCACCCAAGCTGATCATCTTGTACTTGCATGTTTTGTATAAATGGCACTGTACCCTATACTCCAGTTCCCTACCCTTAAAATTCATTTTCCTAAAGGAGTGCCGGGTATCTCCCTTTATGACCATGCCCTCATCCACTTAAGCAGCTGTCTTTAGATCATTGCAGATTCTTGAAAAGGGCAGTGATTTATTGGAAGCTTTTCCAAAAATCTTTTCAACTGAGTCTTGTGCTTTGCCTTTCTTTGCAGCATGCCCTTGATGCTGACAATGCAGGAGTCAGTCCAGTAGGAAACTCTTCCAACAGCAGCAGTCACTGGGACCTTGGAAGTGCCTTTTTCTTTGCCGGAACAGTCATCACCACTATAGGTATCGGATCGCTTGCTAATATCTTTTCCTCTGCAGGCCGCTCTGAGTAATGATTAGTCAGCACTTTGTCCTCACAGAATGCATGGTAGTTTGAGGGGGAAAAGAGGCGTATGAAACACTGTCAAATGAGCACCATTGTTGCGGGGGCTTTCAATCAAAGGCAAAGAAGACTGGAGAATTTCTTTTCAAAATCAAAGGCCAGGGAGCATTTCATTAGAAAGAACCTAGTGAAAAGGCTAGAGTGGAAATATGAATGGGTCAGTTGAACTCAGACTGCTCTGAGATCAAATTCCTTTTAAAAGATTGTATTTCTCAAAAAGAGATTGCATTTCTCAGTAAAAGAAATGTATGGTAGAATAAGAATGTTCTTCAAAACTCGTGATGGAAAACAGCATTCTGCCTTCTCTCTTTTTTCAACTCCTCAGAGACAAGAGCATTTCATCTCTTGTTTGGTGATTTTATTTATTTACTTTTTTTTTTTTAGCATTCCTCTTCTTGTCTTCAAATATCATGCTTGTGTTGCCACATCTGACATTTTTGGTTTTAAGAATTATTTCTTAACATCCTGTTGTGAAAGAAGAGGAGTGACCTCTCTTTCTTCTTCCCCATCACACTAAAATGGCCTCTCTTTCTATCTATCTATCTATCTATCTATCTATCTATCTATGAATTTTTTCCTTCTTCTAGTTCTGCTGAAAAGTGTTTGAGGAGTTTCTGCCCCCATATAATAGTACTGTACTAAAAATTCTTATGCAGAAGCATGAGAGATAATACAGTTGTAACTGGCCTATAGCAATGATGGACAGGTGTCCAGAGGCTCCTCTGTCCTCCCAGTGGGAGGACTCCTTTATTAAAATCTGTTTATGCTTTCTGGAAGGAATTCTCTGCTCTATTTATCTCTGGGGTTCAACTTCCAGGAAATTCTTCTATGTGCAGCTTTGATAGTCAGCTTCTTATTGGCTCATGTTTTAGAGGCTAAGGGTTGTATTAGAGGAACGTGTTTCTGGTTTTGCCTTTAAATCTACCCTCAGGACCTGTGTTGCATCTATATTGATGAAATCAAGAAAGTTATGTATGGCATGAACATTTTGGGGTGAAAGATTTGTCATGCTTGCTTGGAAATGCTTTGTATCAGCTAGTTTTCTAGAGAGATAGAAACAATAGGATACGTACACAGATATAAGAAAGGGGATTTTAAAGGGGAATTGACTTATACAGTCACGACAGTTGAGAAGCCCTTTAACGGGGCAAACTACAGACCCTAGGATGTCAGTAGTGTGGTCCAGTCCATCTCCAAAGGCTTCAGAACCAAGGACACCAATGATGTAACTCTAAGATTGAGGCTGAAGCCCTGAAAGCCTGAAGGGCCGCTGGTGTAAGTACTGGAGTCCAAAGAAGGAGTCTGGAGTTCTATGACTGAGGGCAGAAGAAGAGAATATTCCAGGTGCAGAAGGAAGGGAAGGGGTTCTTTTTCCTCTGCCTTTTTGTCCTATTCAGGCCTCTAGTTGACTGGACAATAATCTGCCCACATTGAGGACAGATGTTTCCCACTCAGTCCACCAACTCACCTGCTAGTCTCTCTGGAAACAGCCTCAAGGACACATCCATTAATAATGCTTTGCCAGCCAAGCAGATATCTAAAGTTAACCATCACTGCCTTTTAAATTATATGACATGCTACTTTTACATTTGCAAATCTGCAAACATTAACGTCAGATACTACAAGTTTTTGAGGCATCCATTTTGTGGATCTGAGGCCTCAAAGTTTAGTTGATACTGCAGATCAGATGAGGTCAGATTAGTCCACAGGCTCACTGCACCCAACAAAGAAAGTATGTGGCTTGACTACATCTGGTGTAAGGGAAGAAAGTGTTATAACTCCAGTCCTACCTGAGAGCATCCCTGTATAAGTCAGATAACAGCATCATGTTAAATTGTGTTTGACGGTTGGACTGTTTAGATGGTGTCTTTGTCACTTTCTGCATCGCCTAGATACAATACCGAACACCCACAACTCGAAGGAGGAGAGGTTAGTTTTGGCTCACATGTCAGTAGCTTCAGTCCTTGCATGGCCGGGGGGCTGAAGGCAAAAGCAGCATGGTGGAAGAGAATGGCGGAGGAAAGTTGCTCACCTCATGGAAGGCAGGAAGCAGAGGGTGAAAGGAGCAGCTGCGGAGGGAGATACACTCTGCTTCCCCACACCAAACCAGCTGTGTACCCTATAACCCAATCACCTTGCACAAGCCACTGTTTCTGAGTGCTTGAGGCTTTGCCGGAGACATCCAGATATAAAGCAAAACAGATGGGGAACTATGCCCTGCATTAGGAGAGGATTTATTGGAAAATAATTAAAACTGAGAAAGTTTGGGCCGCTCCCAGAAGTAAGTTCTGGCTGTTCATTCTCCAGTATTGGATACATGAGATGTTAGTATATATTAAGGATGATAGAAAAAGAAAATGAGATATTTTTGTATAGTGACTAAATTAGTGTTCTGGCTGATGCATGATGCAAACTGTAGCTACGCTGGACTGTGTATTAATGGTGCTTAGTCTGTTTATTTGTTGGGAAGCCAGGGACTCGGTGTGTGGGGAGACTGTTTATTGACCTACAGGACATTATACAACTGAGGAATGATGGTTCCATCTTGTAGCATATTTTGCACTTTTTTGGGTGTTTGCATTGGAATCTTTCTGTTTGATTTCCACTGCCAAGAATCCATTCCCTCATTCACCCTTGTCCCAGTACCTACCTCCCTATTGTCCCGTCTCTGCTCCTGGGTCTGAGTCTCAGGAGAAGAATTATCTTGCCGAGACTAAGAGATCTAGTGTGTGCCCACAGTCATTAGCTCAAGGACAGACACGTGACCTTTTTAGGCCAGTGGGAACCTCCTGAGCTTTTTTGTTTTGGAGGCTATGACTTGCTGTCTTTCTTACTGGAGGTGAATCTGGAAAGATATAAGACCCAAAACACTGTTGGTAACTTTCTTCCCTTGTTAGGTTACTCTGCCTAGAATTTAGCTAGCATTAAAGAAACAGAAGAAGTAAAGGGGGAAATAAATGGAGTCTTGCTAACATCCTTTGAGGTATGAATTACTAAATGTTAATACTGAGGTCGGTGTGCCCACCCTATACTAAAGCCAGTCTACATTGGATTTTTTTTTTTTTTTTTTTTGTACTGGGAATCAAACTGTGTGATCTTTCTGGTTTTGTTTTTTTGTTTTTTTGCCTGTTTGTTTCCATTGGTTTTTTTTTTTTTTTTTTTTTTTTTTTTGGTACTGGGAATCAAACTCAGGACCTGTGCTTGCCAGGCAGGCATTTATGCCACTGAGCTATATCCCCGGCCCTGCATTGGATTTTTTTTTTATTACCTGCAGCAGAAAAAAATCCTAGCGAATACATACTCACGGTGCAGAACTCATGGAGAGACAGTATGTGTCTTCTGACTGTGGAAAGTGCCTGCCCTGCTGGCCATTGCAGCTACTGTCTCCTGCCATCTTTGGAGCACATGCTCTTGATGCAAGGAGTCAGGCAAAGACATCCTGTTGGATAAGGCCCCAGGTTCCTGTGCCCACATCCTGAACCTGGCTGGCTGGGAGGCTGTTCCTCCGTAGCAGGAGGTGGAACACTTGGTCGTACCAACTATGCCTATGATGAGACCTTTCCCCAAGTCAGAAGGACACTGGACATGAACAGGGAACTACTACAAAACAAGTGTGCCAGCAAAACCAAATAAAAATAAAACCCAATCTCCAAAGTCCACTTTAGTGGCATGGTACAGTTAGCGTGTAAGATTGGGTCCTAGAAAACATTATCTTTTTCTTTTTCTCTTAACTGAAATATAATGTATTGCAAGTTGAACACTATTTACCTGGCTAAATTTTGATTCCAGAGTGGAGGCTCCTTATAAAGTCATACAGTTAGAGAATTCTAGGAAAAAAAAAAAAACCCATAGTAGGATATAAGAATAATGAGGTGTGGGTATAATTATCTTTTTAATTACTTAGAGGTAAATTCATTCATTGCCTATAAAGGCAGGACTTAGAAAATTCACAACTGGGTAATTCTTCCAGGCCTCCCTGAGAAAGTTTTACTACTTAGGAGTCAGGAAAGTGAAGCAGCTAGAGACAGGAGTTGTGTTCTCGTTAATTGTGAAATAACAAACGTTATTCTGCTTACATGCATTCATATAGTTTGCAAAGTAATATTGTCCATGTCTCTCCACATAATTAGTAGTTTAGAACTTCACAGTTCTTGGAAAGGCCTATTTTGGATGGTTTCCTTTGGCTTCACTCTCTGCACGGTAATCACATGTTGTGGGAATCTTAACCTGTTTCGCCATTTGTAATAGTGTCAACATCACAATGAAAATCTATATTCAGGAAGTGTGGTTCTCATCTCTGGTTGTTTCCTTGGAAAGATTCCAAGGGAATCTATCAAAGGGCACGAACCTTTTCAGGGATTGCCAAATTGCTTTTGAAAAAGACTCATGAACAGAATGAAATTGTGTCCTTTTCAGTTGCAAAAGAATGTTCATTATTTAGAGTGTGAAGAGAAAGGTCTTAAGAATAATGAAGTCTTTTCTGAGCAGCAGCAATACTACTCAGGATCAGAGTCCCTTTTATCTGAGAATATCAAAGCACCTCTTTAAAAAAAAGCATTTCTCGGGCTGAGATTTATGCGGAACGATTTATACTTGTGTAGTTGCCCTTCCATGTCAGTGCGTTCACCCTACAGTGGATTGAAGATATTCAAAGGAAAAAGTAACTAATTGGTATCTCACCTGTACAGACTTTTTTCGTATCGTTCTGTAAACAGTAAAACATAACAACTACTATATGTATATAGCATTCACATAGTATTAAGTATTACAAGCAATTTAGAGATGATTTAAAATATATGGAAGGCTGTGTGCAGTTGTAAGCAAACACAGAGCTGTTTTCTATAAGGGGTTTGAGCATCTATGGAGTTTGCTCTTTGCAGGGGGTCCTGAGACCACTCCCTTGTGGATACCAAGGGGTTACTGAACAGCAGAGGGAGAAATTCAGGCACTTCTCTGAACTAGCAGCGACACAAGAGAGAAGACCTGACTCTGCTCCATCTTTATAGAGTGCACCATATACCTCCTCTATTTTCTCCATAAGTAATTTTGATGTAAGTCCCACTTCTTTTGAGGATTCACTCCACTAGCGGATTCCTAGCAACTGGATTTTCTAAGCTGGAGCAAGGATGCATCCTCTGTGTGCGCATGCAAACACTGTCATGTGCAGAAGGGCAGCAGGCGGTCATGTTCTTACTGTCAGCTCTAAAATGCAATGAGATTTTAGACTTTGAGTCATTTTTGGCTTGGCTGTGCCTACACCAGAGAGAACACCTGGTCAGGTGCTAGCTGGTGAATGTGTCACTTGCCTGGCAGCCTCCATTAAGAGTTATACCTGCCAAGGAACCGAAGCAGCTGCGTGTTTGTATTTACACAGCACTTGGGTTGGAGTTTTCATCCATGGATACAAATAGCAGTTATTGTTTCTTGTTTGTTTGAGGTAATTTGCTTTCTAATCATCAGATTTTGTCTCTACCATTTACTGGGTACCAGGCACTGTGCTCCGCATACATGGTCTCATTTAAGCCTGCAATAATCACATGAGTAGGTACTGCTGTTAACCTTATTATACCTATGAGAAGACTAAGGCCCAGAGAAGCTAAATAACTTGCCCATTATACAAGAGATAGTAAGCAGTAGACCTTAGGGTCATTGACCAGAATCAGCTACATAATGTGCAAGGCCTAGTGCAAACAGAAACATGCAGCTTTGTTAAAAAAACATAAGATGAGGAAGACCAGAATGGCGCTATCAGAGCAGTAAACTAAGCATGTGGCCTTTCTAAGTGTGACGCCCTGGGTGACCGCACAATTTGCACATCTAGAAAGGAACCGTGCATGCATAGACAAGTTGGTTCCAGAATGCACACACTTAAGTGGCCAGGGCTGAACAACACCTGTCTGGCAAAGGTTTGACATTGGCCCATGAGTAGAAAATGGAAACTTCTGTGTGTCTCAGGCATAAGTTCTCTTTAAGCGCCAGATTTTTCTTCATACAAGATTTGGAACTGTTGTGTCTTCTAGCTATGGGTGAGCAGAGCTGAGGCCTGTCCTTATCAGCCTCATATTTGTTTCTGGGTGTCTGTTTGCTGGGCTGATCATCTGCTAAAAGTCACCGGAAGCCAGTTGGTGGAGGAACCTACTGAATCTCCTTTTACTTTTTCTAAATCTGGTTCTAATGTTCTGGGATGTTTTTTCTGAACATCTCCCCAGATGGCAGCTGCATCACACCCTCTTATTTCGCAGCCTCAGCTGTCTTTAGCTGCCCAAGAGTTACTCATACCTCACATCCAGCCGTAGGCCCAACTCAAGTCGCTGAGCCAACCCTGCTGAGGTATAAACGTTTTGTCCCTTGTCCTGATACTGTGAGAGAACAGCAGAGTTTCTGGAAGGGAAATAAGAACCAACCATCTGTGTTTTCCTGGGGTTAGTTTTCCTGGAGACATATTGTTCAGAAATGCCCCCTTCCCTCATTATGTAACAGGGCAAGATGATAATTGCTAGTACTGGGTGCTTACCTGGCACCATGTGTCACAGGTCTTTAGTTTTCACATGTGACTCATGCGTCACATGCAACTCCTGGAACATTTCATAGCTCTAAGGTAGGTGCTTTAATAGTCTTATATTCCAGACGAAGAAAGGGAGGCAAGAGGATGAGCACCTTGCCCGAGGTCTGTGAGTCAGCGTACCAGAGACTCAGAAGAGGAACCACGTAGTCTCTGGATTTACAGCCTACCTGTGACCATCACAGCTTGCTTCAGTGTCCCACAAGCACTCTGGAAGAGTAACATGTTGTCTGGCACAACTCCAGGCAAAACTGCAGGAAGGTGGCCTTTTCACTGCCTTTGTCTAAAGCTCCAGTGTAAATTCTAGAATTTTCCAGTGTGAAGGTGTTGGCAAGGGTGTCAAATAGTTTATCCATATAGTTTTCCAGGGATGAGGGACACAGATACACTGAGGTGCATGTGCAAGGTACAGTACTGCTCTGGAATGCTGATCACTTTATGTTCTGTTTTGTGGGGGAGGGTCAGGGATACTGAGAATTGAACTCAGGACCTCCCGCTTGCTAGGCAGGTGCTGCACTGCTGAGCTATATCCCTGGCCACTTTATATTCTTGGTAAAGTGAGTTGTTAAAGAAAGATGCCCTTAAATATGTTTAAAGACTTTGAATATTATACTATTAGTACCCTTATTTGAGGACCTTGCTTAATTTTATTATAGTGTTCTTGTCTGCAAAACATTAACCAGTTATAGTAATAAGAAAATAATAATAATTATAATAATAGTATCTGTCCAACACTAGGCTTTGGAGAGGTTAGGTGTGTATAGGGCTAGGTCATATGAGGTAGAGTTGGACCTTGAGCCTCCACCTCCTCACTTTTCTGTGCTGCTTCTTGGGTGACATGGGATGTGCCCTGTGAGCACAGGTTTTACCCAGGAGGCGGAGGGTAGGGGCTTTACTTCGGTGGTTGGAAGAAGTGTGCAGCATTTGTCAGGATTAAAAAGAATGCATGACTAGCAGGTTCACAACTTCCGTTTGCCTTGTCTGCAATATGCTTCTTTATAGGACACTCAAACTAAGAGAAAACCTACAGTCCCTGACAAATGGGCAACTGTGAGATAGCCGAGCCAGAGTCTTCAGTGTCTGCACGAATTTCTAGAATGTTTCCAAGGGCCTGTGTAAAGGGAAGCTGTAGAGACACATTTGTTTCCTTTCCAATAGAGCTAGGCTAGTGTACTTGTAAATGGGATTATTCTAGAGGGAAATGCCTGGTAAAATGATTTTTTCCCAAGTTCTTGAAAACACTTGAGAAAAGTCCCGTGAGCTTTTTTTTTGCACATTTAAATCAAAATGATGGCGAGTGAGGGAAACACAAGATTAGGAAGCCTTGCCTGAATACTCATTTAGGAAATGGAAACTGTAATTTAAATAATTTGTGATAAGAGGTTTGAACGGTCTGAACGGAAAATTGAGAAGGAAAATAGCCGAGTGACTCATCCCCAAGGCAGAAATCAACAGTAAGCTCTCCAGGGCCGTAGGAGGATGTGTGATGGACCAGCCATCGGTGTCCTTTACTGCGCTGTATTCCCAGCCTGCTATACAGTGCTCCCCGAAACTCACTCGTTGCATAGACTCAGAAACGGCTCCCATGGGAGAGTGGCTAGGTGGCTGTCTAGACCCTGCTTAGAATAACATTGTAATGCTAATTGGCATGAAAGTGCAGATCAATTATTTGAGGATTTCATCCTATGTAAATTGTGCTAACACGATAAGCCTTTTCTGCCAGTAATACTTTGTTTAGCTCCATCCATAGAGTCGGCTCAGTATTCACTGTACAACAGTGTAATTGAAAATCTCTTAAGAATGCAGATGTTGGTATTTTCAAAGCATTAGTTGGAATTGGTCTCGGTAGACCTGACTATGCAAGGATTCTCTTGTGTTCAAACATCTCTTCCACCAAAAAGCATTTATTTAGTACTTGGCCATTGGTGCAAGAGGGGATGGGGGAGGAGCAGGACTCAATGATCTAATGAGAGAGAGAGAGAGAGAGCCAGGCACAGGTAGGCTTCACTGTCAATGAGCGGGCCACAGAATCGTCTCCTCTTCCTCCTCTTCCTATTCGTCTTTTTTGTGATACAGAGGACAAAACCCAGAGCCTTCCACTGGAACATACTCTCAGCCCTTTTCATTTTTTATTTCGAGGCAGAGTCTTGCTAAGTTGCTCAGGTGGGGCACGAACCTGCAAATTGTCCTGCCTCAGCCTCCTGAGTAGCTAGGATTACAGGCATACTCCTTCATGCACAGCCCCTTCATTTTTTACTGTTACCAAGCTTTGTGGGGTGGAGCTACACAACTGATAGGTCCTTTCTGAATTTGTAGCCAGCCACGTTTCCTTTTCAGTGTTCAGCACTCATCACTCTATGAAAACAAATGCTGAAGACAGCCACCATCTGTTCAAATAGGAGGGGGCCCCACGATAGGACTGTACAGGAGAAGCACCTCTTGTTTAATCTAAAAGGGCAATTGTGCAACCTTTCCAGATACTCAGGTTGCTTAAGCTAATCATGTCCGTGATCTTTGGTGTTTCTGAAGTTAGTTCCATTTTCCATGAGAAATCCACTTCTGGATGACCGTGAATTTCTTAACATATAGCAACCCTTAAAATTATTTACAAGAAGGGAATTAGGAGGAACAATGGAACAATATTTTGAGTTGCCCTTAACATGAAATTCTACCTCTCTGACTCGGGAGGTGAGGAAATGTGTGAATTTTGTTAAAAGTCTGGATTCTTTGGTTGGCGTCCTGCTTCCTCTCCCTCCTCACCATTTTCCCTCTGTCTCTACTGTTTCCCACCAGGGTATGGGAATATTGCACCAAGCACCGAAGGAGGAAAAATCTTTTGTATTTTATATGCCATCTTTGGGATTCCACTCTTTGGTTTCTTATTGGCTGGAATTGGAGACCAACTTGGAACCATCTTTGGGAAGAGCATTGCAAGAGTGGAGAAGGTCTTTCGAGTGAGTACTGCATCTATTTAAACCTAACTACTGCAATCCAGTCGGCTTTGCCTAACAGGAACCTGAAGGCATTATCAGGAGTGTCATTTGCTTTTAATACAATAGTTTAATGTTTCTATTGTGTTTTCTATATTTTGGCTAATTTGGGCACAGTAACTACATATCCTTTGCTTGAGTAGCTTCCTGCTTTAGAGCAGTATTTCTGGAATCATGACACAAGAGAGTTAAGTATGAATTCGTCAACTTAGATTTTCTGATGAAGTAAAGCATACTCAGTGTCTTGGTCTGTTTATACTGCTACAACAAAATACTGGAGGCAAGGTAATTTATAAAGAACAGAAACTTATCTCTCACCATTTGGAGGCTAGGAGTTCAAGAGCAAGGTGCTGGTAGGCTCAGTTGTTCAGCTGTCCGGTGAGGGCCCTGACTTGTGTCACTGATGGTACCCTGTTGCTGTGCCTTCTGGAGGGAAGAAATGCCCAGTCCTTACATGGAAGAAGGACTGGAAAGGAAAAAGGGCCTAACATCACATGAAACCTCTTTTTATAGGGGCCTTAATCCCACTCATTCCAGAAGACCCCTTTAAAAGCCCCCATCTTTTAATACTATCACATTGGCCATTACATTTCAACAGGTGAATTTTGGAGGGGACACATTCAAACCGTAGCACTCAGTTCCTTCCTAAAGATGGAAGATGGGTTCCTTAGTGTCTTTGCAAAGAAGTAGAGAAATGCAAATCCGTCCATTCTGTTCATGGAACTCCTTCGCTCCACTTTATTTCTGTGCATGGTGTCTCCTGGCTGCTCCTGCCTCCTCTGAGGAACTCCTTCGCCCAGGTGAGCCCTGGGCTTTGAACTCTTCTCTCTCGGCTGCTCCCTCTTCTGCCCCCCGCTGCCGAGCGCTCTTACAGTAGCTCGCTGGTGCGTGGCTTCCCACTAAGCCGGCGATGCCTGTTGCTGCCTTAGTTTTTCCTCTTGGAAATAGTTACCTTTAAACAAGGGACAAAAATCTCAACTCAAGAAATTTATTTACTCAAGCTGATACATGTAGCATCAGGGACAGTCACGTGAGCTGGATACGATTGGCCCGAGGTTCCTAATGCCCTCTAATCCACATCCACTTGTGTGATTCCACAGAAGTCTTGTTTAGCTTAGGTGTAATCCCATTTCTGGTCTTTTACTCAGTATAAGCCTCATTCCCAAACCTTCCAGACCATTCTTTATCAGAGAATGTTCTCTTTTGATTAATTTTTTAAAATGACATTTTGAGATCTGTTTTGGAATCTAGTAATGATGGGCAAAGACAGATCAGTGATACGCTGTCAAGGTATACAGTTTCCCATACCCCTCTGAGATAAGAGTTCCCAAACTTTGAGTTTTAAGCTGCACCTGAAATCCTGGCTTACACCTTTTTTTTAGAAGAGTGTGAGGGAACTCTGCAATTTTAGAATTTGTTTTAAATTTTGTTGTTCTTTTTCTTTTTTTACTGGGCTGTTTGAAATAAACACAAGAGCTGGTTCTAGTCATTTATAAACTCAGCATTCCTGGGTAACCTGCCTCTGTTTGCTCATTGGCAAAAGGGGATAGAACTTGAATCTGTTTTCTAAAGTTTTATGATGATTGAATGAAATATGTGTGGGAGAGAGCTTGGCACAAGGCCAGATACAGAACCCAGAGCTGTGTGTGTTTCAGAGAAAAGCAAACTGGCGGGACAGCCACTCCTTTAGGTTTTATCCGAGTAGCCGATTGTGTGTGAACTTCCCTTGAAGGTCCTACAGCCTTTGCCCTTGGTGCTGGTTGGTAGGCCTCATTAGTGCACACACCTGGCCTTCTTCCTGATCACCATGGAAACCATGGTATTCAGCTCCTCTGCTTCTCCGATGCTTAGATGCCCCTACCCTAGATGTGCAACCCTGTCTCCAAGGGCTGTTTTGAACTACTCCAAGTTACCTTTTAGCCATTGCTCCACGGCCCTTTGAGTTAAGGGAACAATGAATCTGGCAGCCTGAACTCTTAGAAGAATAGGATTCACACAGAGGAATGAATGACTGATCTCGCATTTTTATATGTATATAACTCGCCTCTCTAGATCTCAGTTTTCTTGGTTGTAGAAGAAAGGATTAGATTGAATGCTTTTCAAATCTCCTTTTGTGAAAAAAATTTTCATTACTATATTCTAAATGAAGGAAGAGGTTGCAATCATTTTACTACATTTGCTAGCAAATTGGGGGAGTCAGTCTCCCCTAATAAATGTCAGACTACAAGTTGAGTGTGCTATTTACCTTCCCTTTAAAGCTACCTCTCAATGGGTCATTTAATAGAATCTGGAGCAGAGGCTTACACACGTCACGTTTCATTTTTATGCTGATGGCCCATTCTGGTCCTTGCAAGGCCATCAAAGCCTAGGAGCTTTTCAGGAAGGCGAGACAGATGTATATTATTGAATTGGAAGCACAATGGATGTATTTACCCAGCATTGGAGGGGCTCTTGGAAGGGTGACTGAATTCCAGGGGCAATAAGCATTCCACCAGGGTACACAAACACTGCATCCAGTAGCCTTTTGCTTGCTGTGTGCAAAGTTTTGGTAGAAAATCTCAAAGCTCTTGGTCATTCATTTAAATTCCATTTACAAGGCCAGTTACTTTTAGGTGATGATTTGAGAAACGCAAATTATATAAACCAACAAAGCTTAGGGTTGCACATTTTTTTTCAGTTCTCATGGGAAAGGTTCATTTTTTAAAAAAAATTTGCATGATGAGTAGTAAACCTTTTGTCGGTTAGATTTTCTCTTAGCTCTTAAGAAGAAAATGTGTGTGTGTGTGTGTTCTAAAAAATATGTGGAGTCAGCTTTCTGGGTGCCTGTATTCTGAGGTAACTCTGGTTTGGGTCTTTTTAACATATCCCAGAGTGAGCCTCATTTTGAAGGGCCACTGAGGCATAGTATAATACTTCAGAATGCCTGATTGTTAGGGTTTTAATGGAGTGGATAAATAAAAACTCTTCTCTGAAGTTCAGAATTAATTGGGAACTAGTAGAGTCAGGCGGGATCACAAGGTTGGCTTTATTGCTGATAAGTTACAGAGACCACAGAATGGAGCTTTAGCTCTGTTACCAAAAGGGCTTTCTTGTTTTCTATTGCTGTGTAACAAATGACCATAAACATAGAAGCTTCAAACAACACACATTTATTCTGTCACAGTTCTTTGGTGAGAAGTCTGATGTGTGGGGATGGGATACTACAGGATATCACAAGGCCAAAATCAAACTGTTGGTCAGACTAAACTTCCGGTCTGGGGAAGCTTCTAAACTCATTCATGTTTTGGGGAAAAACAATTTCCTGCAGTTGTAGGAATGACATTCCTGTTTTCTTGCTGGTTTTCAGGCAGCAGCAACTTTCTCAGCTTCACACACATTCTTTGCCATGTGCCTCCTTCAGCTTTAAAGATGGTGAGGGTGCGATGTTTCCTGCTCATGCTTTGCCTGTCTCTGGCTTCCTCTCTGGCCCCGCTGGAGTAAGCACTCTGCTTTTAAGAGCTCATGTGACTCCAACAAGACTGTGAGGATCATGTCCCTGTCAACTGCACCTCACATAGCGTGGTAATGATAGCTCATCTTGTCACCAGTTGTAGGGGTTCAGATTGTTTATCTTGTAGACATTCTGCTCTCTCACACATGCTGAGTCATTGGGTCACAGGTAGGAGAGGCCTCCACCACATGGACAGTCCACCCCACTAGTCTTGGTGCAGTGTGGAGCATAGACAAAGTACATCTCTGCCAGAAGATGGTCCCAAGCAGCAGAAGAAGGGGACCAAACCACAGTGTACCAGGGAAGTCACTAGTCTGCCTGAAAAGTGGGGATAAAATCTTGGCCATGTTACTCAAGATAAAGTCTCTCCACATAGTACAAGAAGCCGAGTAAATGGACAGGACCCTCAACACTGGTTAACAGTGAGTTAAGCATCTGGTCCCTTATTTATCTCACATAGCAAGGAACCTGGAGGCGGGTTGTTTCCGATTTGGTGTTTCAGTTTTGCAGTATCGTATATACTCATGTTTGTTCTCTCTGTGGGCTTGTTCTCCTTGGGATGTTGTTTACTCATCCTTGGTCACCTCATGGCTGCAAGATTGCTGCTATTGGACCAAATATGGTTTTATCCAACTACATTTAAGTCAACATAAAAGAGACACTTAAAAAAAACAACAACACTATTTTTTAAGAATGGTTTTAGATTTGGCAGAAAAATTTTGAGGAAGGTACGTAGATTTCCCATACCTACCCTGCCCCATATTCTCAACATGACCCACCAGAGTGGTACGTTTTCAGTACCTTACTAATCTGCACTGACACATCATGTCACCAAAGGCCATAGTGTATGCTAGGATTCTTAGCATTGTTCATTCTATGTGCCTATAGATCCTGTGAACCTTGACTCATCTTGGAAACAAAGGCTAAGACCCTGACTGTACAGGTCTGTGAAACAGTTATTTTTAGAAAATCAGCTTAGCCCCAACAGGACGGGCAAGGTGAAGACATCATGCTGAGAAGCTCACCTTCCAAGCTTCTTCCTGCCATACATTTCGCTGTTTGGCAGTCCCTGCTCCTACTGTATTATTAATAAACCTCTGATTCATATTACTTTCATTTTCCGAGTTCCTCCTCCTGGGCCTGGGATGACTTGACTTCTTCCCACTTGAGCAACTTCATCCTTTAGTCAGCCCTACTTCTCCATTTGTTGCTGGGGTATAGGGCAAGAACATGAGAAGTGGGGGTCACACGATGGGAGACTCCTAAGCCTCCAGGACCCTAGTCCCCCGCTGTGGCATAATAGTTATTTCCAAACTTGACCCAAGTCCTCAAGCTGTTTGGACAAAAGGAATTTGGTGAGTTGATTTACTTGTTTCTTTTCTCTTTCTGTCATAGCCTGGCCCTAAGAGATTGATATAGAAGTAGTTTTTCCTAAAGCATCATCCAATAGAAGAAACTGTCTAGAAAATTTTAT